CCCACTCAAAAGGAGCATCATCGCCAGCAACAGGAGACACGTTCCCCTTCCATACTTGTAAGCTCCTCTTTGCAACCCCGTGGAACCGCCCAGTAGTCCCCTGTCCCCACAGGAAAAAAAAATTCTGTAGCTCTTTGAAACACAATGAAACATAAAACATGGCATTTCATGAAGCCAGTTTCTTAATTAGGAAATCTAAGAAGTCACAGTTTTAGTTACTTTGCAACTAGACTGGTAGTTTGTCATTGTTGTTTTACATTAAGATGGAAACCAAAAGCAAGATAACCTGTGAGCATCACCTTGTAGAGAGATTTACAACCACCACAGCAGCTTGGACCCCATCAATCTTCATTCACTGAATTAATGTGCTGGTGCTGGGGAAAGGGCAATAAACAGATAAAAATCCTTGGAGTCCTGGAACTTACTTCCTAGTGGGAAGACAGAAAATAAAGATCAGTAAGGGAAATATATATTAGATGTGGTGAGTGCTGTGGAGAAAAAAGCAAGGATGAGAGGATGAGAGACAGGACATGGGAATGCAATTTAAAATTTAAAATTTAAAATCAAGTAGTCAAAGACCTTACTGAAAAGGTGATATTTGAATAAAGGCTCTAGAGAGAGGAAGGGGCCAGTCATGCAGTTACCTGGGATAAGAGCCATTTAGGTAGAATGGCACGTGCAAAGCCCTAGCCCTAAGTGGAAATATGTGAGTGAATTTGAGAAATAGCATTGAGGGCAATGCCCAGAGTGAGCGTGGAGGAGATGGCAGAGTCAGAGGGAAAGCAGGGGCCCGATCACACAGGGGCCTTTCCGGTCATAGTAAGGATTCAGCTTCTACTCCCGATGAGACAGGAGCTTCAAGAGGCTTTGAGCAGAGGAGTAAGATGATCTAACTTCCTTTTTAACAGGATTGCTCTGATTAAAGGAGTTGGAGACAGAAATAGGAGATACTGCCTTTAGACCCAAGCAAGAGGGGCCCCTGCCCTGGGCCCCATATTGTACGGGGTCCTGCATAAAACAAACACAAAACATGTACATTTATGATAGTACCCAGGGCATCCTTCTTAGCAATCAGGCTCAATTCTGGCACAGCACAACCTTCAGTCTTAAATATGTATTCCCATGACTACCACATTTTAGACCCTTTTAGACTCTTCTCCACACCTCTTGCCATGTGTGCATCAAACAAAAGGTGACTGCCTCCAAATGCCATCAAGGCTGCAAACATGGGAGCTGGACACTGCTTAGGAATGTGGGGAGGATTTGAGAAATGGATGTGCCTAATTAAGAGAAGTACGACTTCACTTACTAACTTCCTCTTGGAGAGCATAAGTGCCATAGATAACAACATATTATGTCTCAGTTGTGCTGAGAGTCCATTTCCTTGCTTCTCTTTGTGTTCCAATTCAGCATTCTTGAGATATTCACGAATGGCCCAGGGTTTGCAATGGTTGCATACTTAATGGCTAGAAATATTAAACAATTCATATCTCTCTAAATTTGTATTTATGCAGGTCAAAACAAAATTCATGCTGGAGCTAAATTCTAGAATATTGTTTCAAGAGATGACGAAAATGGCAATATAAGTGATCATAGTTTATAGGATGAAATTTAAACATTTTGAAATATTGTTTACAATAGTGGTAATGTACCATCTGCAACCCCAGTTACAATACTTGAACATGATGTGTAGATGTTGTGGCTCTTATTGCTAGTTCAGATGAGCAAAGTTTCTCCAAACTGAATTGAAATTAATATGTTTAATTAATTTTTAAAATACAAGGACTCAACAAGAGTGGTCTAATTTGATAAAACTATCAATAGAACATCAATTACATGGAAATCTTGGTTATGTGGCATATATTTTACGGAAATTAAGTTTTAAAAATAACATCTACAGGATAGACATATAGTAATTCATAACTTAAACTCTTTCTATACTCATCCAAATATCACCTACCCATTAAGAGAACACCCAGACACACACAATAGTAATTCAGTCATCTATGTTTTGCTTACTGTTGGTCATATAAAAATCATTAATTGTTTCTTACTTTTTCAACACAAGAGTATACGTTAAAGTAGGAGGATAGAACATATTTTAAATAACTTTGTTAGATTGACTCATAAAGTTCAAATATTTAGATATTTATTATGTTGGGTCCCATTTGTACTTTGGCCCCTTGTATCTTAGGGAAATCCAATTTGGAGGTTACTGCAATAAAAAAATCCTGGCAATAAATGATGGTGGTCTCTTCAGGGTGATGGCAACGGAGATGTGAGAAGTCATCAAATTCTGAATACTTTCTGAAAGAAGCACCAGAAGGATTCCTGACAGACTGGATTTAAGTGTGAAAGGGAAGAATCAAATGACACAAGGTTTTCAGCCTGAGCATCTCCATAAAAAGTTGCCATTATGTGAGCTAGGGCAGGATGTAGGAAGAGCAGCTTGGGGAGACTTTCAGAAGCTTGTTTTGTCATGTTAAGCCTGAGATGTATTTTAACTCTCAGCAGTTTTTTTTTTTTTTTTAAATACATTTATTTATTTACTTACTTACTTTTGGCTGCATTGCGTCTTCACTGCTGTGCACAGGCTTTCTCTAGTTGCGGCAAGCGGGGGCTACTCTTCGTTGCGGTGCGTGGACTTCTCTTGCAGTAGCTTCTCTTGTTGCAGAGCATGGGCTCTAGGTGCACGGGCTTCAGTAGTTGTGGCACGCAGGCTAAGTAGTTGTGGTTCACGGGCTCTAGAGCGCAGGCTCAGTAGTTGTGGCGCACGAGTTTAGTTGCTCCGCAGCATGTGGGATCTTCCCGGACCAGGGATCGAACCCGTGTCCCCTGTTTTGGCAGGTGGATTCTTAACCACTGTACCACCAGGGAAGTCCTCTCAGCAGTTTAATACTCTAGGCAGGCATTCAGGGGAGAGGTCAGGATATGCGACAGTCATTAGGGTAGGAGCAGGATATGGGTTGCATTCAAATCCTTAGGATGCAAGAGATCCACTCTTTGTTTTTGGGCTTTCAACGAGATGGAAGACATGGTATAGTTGAAAGAAGGGACATTGTTGTGCCACTTCACCCTTGTAGCAGAGAGTGGCATACAGAACCCAGAAGTCACCTCCCAAAGCCATCCCAAAGGCTAAGAACTTCCTTAGTTGGGATGCCCTGAGGAAAATTCATAACTAACCACCAACCCTGGATCCTAACCCTAAACTCTTAACTTAAGACTTCCTACAAAATGTTTACCACAAACACACATGTAAGACACCACTGGATATCATCTATCCTCCATGTGAATTTTTCCTCTCTTACTGGCCCTCTGCCCAGCTGCCTTTTACATCACATCCTTTGATGTGGTTTATCTTCCATCTTCCTAGGTTAGTTGGTCTCAGCCTCCCAAATCCCTCTGACCCAAAGATGGAGAAGGCATAAAGAAAGAAATATATCTATAAGACAATACAGAGAGACAAAACTCTAAGTTCCTGGAATCTCTTCACTATCCCATCCTCAAACTGGAAAAGAAAAGTCTAAGTGCAAATATCGCTGTCTTAATCATTTGTGAATTCTTACTCTCCCTGTGACAAATACAAGCAAAGCCACAATTAAAGCAATATTGCAATCTAAATAGAGAAGAATTGCTGAAGCAAGGGCTAAATGTCAAGAGTAAACTTTATCCCAGCCTGCGGGTAATCTTTGGATGAGACACTAATGCAACATTTCCAAAATTGGCATCTTACAGAACGCTGATCCATGGGATGCTGCTTGATGAGTTCTATACTCAAAATAAATGGACAAAGCAAAATTCAACAAATTTCTTTTCTGTAGGAATATCAGGGACTACACTAACATGCTCTATGAATCTTTAAAAGGGAGATAGAATACAGCATTTCCAACATTTGTTTGACACAGAACCCACTCCTTGCAGTAGCTCATAATAACAACTTCCAGTAATGGTTTTCCTCTGAACACAGTTTGAGAAGCACTATTCTAATATATATATATACATATATATGAAGATCAAAAATAAATTATGTTTTTCAGAGCTTGTTTATCTGGCAGAGCAAGGCCAAAATGTTTCCCATCACCAACGCCCTGATTTGACTCACCAAGATTTGCAAATCTGCATAACTATATGCCTTCATTAAACCAAATTCGAGTCAACAAATTCACTTCTTAATAAATGAGGCTGTTGAGTTATTATATATTCACAGCTTTAAATATTCACATTGCAAGTGAATTCCCAAATACCCACCTGTTAAAGCAATGTTATCACTGAATAACTAGAATTAATTATTTTAGAGATGATGATAATGAAGCCAAAGAATTTATCCAAATTAAGTGTTCTTCCATGAAGAAAGGGCTGAAACTTTAGATCAATAATGATTTAATTTTACTCTGAAATCTTTGGGGGACATTCAGTTCTTCTAAGCGCAATAATTAGATGAATCGCTGGATCTTTGCTATGATGAAGCAATATCTATATCAACTTTCTTTTTACCTTTTACCCAACACACAAGTCCATATAATACAGGTTTTTTATGAGCAAACCCTTACACACTGATTGATCTTAAAAATACTTTAGCTAGTCTTTACTATTCTTTCTGTGTATTCTCCCTGAATTAAACTAACATGGGAATAGTTCTATTTTGTGGGAAGGCAATCCTCCCAACAGAATTAGAAACTTTTGAGAAATACCTACCCATCATATGTCAGCTGTTAGCCTCACATTCACACTGAAAAGAGTTACACACATTTTTATGAGACAGAAAATATTTAGTAAGAATATATTTATTTATTACAAATTTCATTCATATTTTTGTATACAAATATTATTTAAAGGGCTTGAGAAATGCCATTATAATGCTAAATGAAAAAGGCTAGCTACAAAATTAATAGACACATGCTCTCAAATACATATAAATATTTTTTAAAGGTGATGTTCTAAAATAGGAATTATTGACTCTAGGTGATATAATTTTTTCTTAATTTTTCTGTATTATTTTTATAATCATGAAAAAAATGAAGCTTACTTTTTTCAATAGCACTACCCAATGTTACCTCACTTATTCCACTAAACCCAAACTACTGTGTTGAAGATACAAGTTTATGGTGAAATGCCAGGGTTTTCCTCTGGGTACAAAAGGAACCCAGTAAAAACGCTATCATCCTCAGCACTGACATACACCCCATTCCAATCTTTTGAAACTTCCAGCCAGACTTGGTCCCCTGCTTTTAATTTCAAGATGATGAGGAGAGAGGCCTGGTCTATTTCATGACCATAGAGTGTTTCTCTGGACTTGAACTGCTTCCTATTCCAGGCCACCAGGCTGATCTGAGCAGGTCGGCCCCTCACGGTGACGTGGTAGGAAAAAACATATGCCCCAGGAATACTACAGTTAAATTTCCCAGTGACAGGGCTGTAGTTCCCTTGGTCGTTATAGAGAACCTTGTCAAACTTGATAGGGGCATTTGGAGGGGGGAAAGGCTTGGATAAAGCAGCACTGAAAGCTGACTGTGGGACTCTGGCCACCTCCCCCTTGGAGCCCTTGAGACCCCGAGAGCCCTTCTTCCCAATAGACCCTCGGAACCCTTTGCTCCCAAGTTCACCCTTTGGCCCTGCAGGTCCCACAAGACCAGGAGGACCCAACTCTCCTTTTTCTCCTTTAACTCCTGGATCACCTTGGGGCCCAGGCAGCCCGTCTGAACCACTTTTCCCTTCCATTCCAATATCTCCTTTGCTACCTTTTTCTCCTTTCATGCCCTCCTCGCCTTTTTCTCCTTTTTCCCCCCTCTCCCCAGAATCTACACAGTAGCCCTTATCCCCCATCTCCCCCTTGTCTCCCTTGGCCCCAGGCTCTCCATTCAAGCCTGGTGCACCCACAGCCCCTCGGTCTCCTTTATCTCCTTTGGTACCATTGGCACACGTGTCCCCCTTGGAGCCTTTTTGTCCTTTCACTCCTGCCAGGCCAATATTTCCTCTATCCCCCTTAGGACCAAGTCCACCTGAAATGGAAAAATTAAAATAATGGTTAAGGCTCACATATGGTATGACCAGTATGCTATTATCAGGGAGCTCACAAAATGAAACAAAACCTCTTAACTGGAGCTGGAAACCTGCTTCTTGCCTGAGCAATGGCCATGCAGAGGAGACTCTTACACTGAGCCATTCAAATCAAGAGACTCCCTCATAAAGGAAAGAGTTAATGCTACTGAGAAGCAACAGCTTATATTTAGATCTTATATATCTAGTTTGTCTGTTTGTTTGTTTGACTTTTAAGATAATGAATATTAGAACTATAGTTGCCCGTTGTGTTCCATTATACTTTGCATTTTGGTCCAACCGAGCTATTCTCCTAAATCTCCATATTGTCCATCCAAACCCAAAATCTTACAGGCAAAAAATCTGCAACCCAGGAAGATTTAGAGATCTTTTTCCCAAGGACAGCGAGAAAGAGGTGCAGAGTTCAGATACTTTTACCACTTCCAGATTCCTACACCAGTGCTGATAACACTCCATCCAATCAGTACACTAAATTATTAGAAGATTATTACTAATTGATATTTCCATCTTACCTCCCTGATAACTTTAAATACAAACAGGAAGAAAATTAAGGGCCATACTGCACACGTGACTACACACAGTAGATATACTTTATACACTACCTGGTACTCCAGGTTTTCCTGGGTATCCTGGAACTCCATTTGTTCCTCGCTCCCCACGTTCTCCCTTAAGTCCTAAAATGATACCAAGATTAACTTTTTTCTAACTATATTAGCTATGATATAACAAACACCCATTTCACAACTGTGTCACATTCTAATGCTTCCTTTACCAAAATGTGTAAAGGTAAAACAATATGGAAAAAGAATTTATTGAGCAACATTAGGAATATTTTATTCCAATTGATGGTGAACCATTTAAAGTATATTTGGAGGTAGTGCCAAATCTCTTCAAACAGATTTCAGCTTTTCCCTCAGCATTCTTGTAGCTCTTCAAATCTCTTACAAAACCTATGACATTCTGCCTTACATTTGTATGTCTGTGTTTGTGCTCTTCTTATTACGAATTCTGAATGACAGTTAAAAGGTCCTCTTTTTTTATATCCCTCACAATGTGTGAGAGATCGTACCGTGCACCATACAAGCTAAAACACAGAGCACAACACTCTGCAGTCAGCTAAAACTATTCATGATAAAAACCCACACAGGGGGCTTCCCTGGTGGCGCAGTGGTTGAGAGTCCGTCTGCCGATGCAGGGGACACGGGTTCGTGCCCCGGTCCGGGAGGATCCCACATGCCGCGGAGCGGCTGGGCCCGTGAGCCATGGCCGTTGAGCCTGCGCGTCCGGAGCCTGTGCTCCGCAACGGGAGAGGCCGCAGCAGTGGGAGGCCCGTGTACCGCAAAAAAAAAAAAAAAAAAAAAAAAAACCCACACAGGATAAAAAATATTGTCCTTGATATACATAAAGCACCAAGGAAAAGCTAATTTTCATTTTGCTTGGAATTTTCTTCATACACTCTTTGGGCAATTATAAAGCTGTGAAAATTCATGTTTGAAAAAAATAAAAATATCTGGGCTTTTAGATATTTGCAATATTACCACAAAATGGACTTTTATACTGGGCCTGGCCAAAGGCCCATCCTGTTACAGTGCAGCCACTCTAGATTTATTTTAATTGTAACTAATAATAGCAAAAATAACAGTAACAATAATAGCTAACTCTCATTGAGCACTTACTTTGCACCAGGTAATGTTCCAAGCTCTTAACATGAATTTTTAAATTTCAAACTTTTAGTTTAATATTAATTTTTATTTGATAATAAAACAGCCTCTCATATAACAGGGAGGCTCACATAACAGAGCACATTTCATCAATTGGAATATTTTTCATTTACAAAAGTTTGTAGCATCTCCCATCAAGAAAGGTAGAGCACATATTTTTGTCACCACTTTCATCACAAAAGAAACTGAGGTATGAAAAAGTTTAGCAATCTGTACAGAGTCAAACATAACTGTATATAATATTGGTTGGCATCAACTTACCAGCCATATTATTTATGATATAACCAACATATTTTGTTTCATTTTTTCCAGGGAAAAAGAAACCCTAAGTCAAATTAAAAGTCATGAGAAGAGGGGGCTTTTCAAGATGGCGGAGGAGTAGGAGGACATGGAGTTCATCTCTCTCGACAAATGCATCAAGAATACATCTACAGGGCTTCCCTGGTGGCGCAGTGGTTGAGGGTCCGCCTGCCGATGCAGGGGACGCGGGTTCGTGCCCCGGTCCGGGAAGATCCCACATGCCGCGGAGCGGCTGGGCCCATGAGCCATGGCTGCTGAGCCTGCGCGTCCGGAGCCTGTGCTCCACAGCAGGAGAGGCCACAACAGTGAGAGGCTCGCGTACCGTGAAAAAAAAAAAAAAAAGAATACATCTACAGATGCAACAATTCTCACAGAACACGGGCTGAACACTAGTAGAAGGCCTTGGACACCAGAAAGGACAATAAAGATGCCTGCATAACCAGGCAGGATGAAAGAAAGGGAGAAAGAAGAGGAGAGGAAATGGGATGGAACCTGCTCCCCAGTTGGGGAGCTGAAGCAGAAGAGAGGTTCCCACATCTGGGGAAGCCCCCTCACCAACAGAGAAACTGGTTGGGACAGAAGGGAAGCACCTGAGGCTGTCAGAGGAGGGTGGAACGGCCAGTCTGTGGCAGAGAGCACAGAGTGAGACCTACACAGACAGTCCATGCAACAGCACTGCATGCCCCACACTGGGACGTGTGTCCACTGGTGCGCACGGCAGTGGGAGCTGGAGCGTGCGGACTGGAGCACAAACCCAGAAGGAGTACTATTGTTGGCTGCGAGGAGACAGCCGATGGGGATGGGAGGGAGGAAATATGCAACTGGGAATGCCTGTAGAGGAAACCTGGACTGCCATGGAAGCAAGGCACCACTGTTGAGTGACATGCAGGGGATGGAGCCACCACTGCAGCCTCTCTCCCCATGCACCAGCCCCTGCCCATCCCCGCAGGTGCTAGGAGAGGGCCCTGACAGGGCTGGCCCTCACACACCTGCCACTGGGCACTAGAAAATGCTCACACTAGGCCAGATCTCTTGTGCCTGTGGCTGCCACTTCCCTGTACATCTGTCGCCACTGGAGCTCCTGCGACCCAGGCAGCCATGCCACCTCCACGCCATGTCCTCACTGGGGCAGGCCCAAGTGCTCCAGGGCAGCCTAGGGAGCAGAATCCTGTGGGTGGCCCACATGCAGAAGTGGGGCTAAAATCACAGCTGAACCCCAGGGGCAGGGTGACTAAGGAAGAGGAACAAAAATCTTTCCATCAGTTGCACAAGCTACATATTAAGGCCCTGTGATCAGCTTAGTAGACCCTGCATCTATGGATCTGAATGGACAATGAGTGTTCCCACAAATGAAACTGGTCTAGCTCTGGCAGCTGTGGACTTTGGGGGCAGGCACACACATGAGCTGGGCCAGATCAGAGTCTGACCTGTCCTCACAGTGCCCACAGCAGGTCGAGAGACCAACCTAGAGGCACTGGAGGGCCTACTGGGGAGGTGGAGGTGGGCTGTGGCTCAGAGCAGGGGCTAGAACAATGACAGCTGAGACCCCAGGAAAATATTATTATTACTATTATTATTATTATGTTTTGATTTGTTCTGTTGCTGGCTTTGTTTTTTGTAATTATTATTCTTTATTCTTATTTAGTAGTTTGGGGGCTTTTAGGTTTGTTTGGTTTTTCTATGTTTTCTTTTCTTCCTTTTTATAATTTTGTTAATTTTTTTGTTTTTATTTTTATTTTTCATTGTTCTGTTTTTTTCCTTTTCTTTGTTCTATTTTGTTTTTATCTTTTTTTCCCTCTTTCTGTTTTTTCTTTTTATCCTTTTTTAAATTGTTTTTGTGTGTCTGTTTTTGTTTGCTTTATTCTTCAGTTTGCATTCTGTTTAAGTTTTGTTTTTTGTTTTCTGTTTGTGTGAGTTTTGTTTTTAATTGTTTGATTTCATTTTGGGGTTCTGTTTGTCTGGTTGTTCTCTTGGGTTTGGTTTTCTTTGGTTTTGTTTTTGTTTCTTTTTGTGTGTGCATGAGTTTGTTTTCATTTTTGTTTGGTTGGTTTTGCTTTTACCATTTGTCTGGAGCTTTGTTTGTTTTTTGGTTTTATTGCTGTTGTTGCTATTTGTTTCTGTATTTGCTATTTCTCTTGGGTTTTGTTTCTCTTTTTGTTTTCCTTTGTTTTCTCCCCCCACCCCTTTTTTTCCCTTTATTGCTGTGATGTGTGGCTTGTGGGGTCTTGGTTCCCCAGCCGGGGGTCAGGCCGGAGCCTCGGGGAAGGGAGCACTGAGTCCAGGATGCTGGAATGCCAGAGAATTCCTGACCCCAAGGAATGTTAATTGATGAGACCTCTCACAGAGGTCTGCATCTTGAATACAAGACATGGCTCTACCCAACTGCCTGCAGGCTCTAGTGCTGGATGCCTCACAGCAAACAACAAGCAAGACAGGAACACAAAACCACCTATCAGCAGACAGGCTGCCTAAAGTTGTGCTAAGCTCACAGACACCCCAAAACACACCACCTGACATGGCCCTGCTCATCAGAGGGACAAGATCCAGCTCCACCCACGAGAACACAGGCACCAGTCCCTCCCACCAGGAAGCCTACACAAGCCACTGGACCAACCTCACCCACCAAGGGCAGACACAAGCAGCAAGAGGAACTATGACACTTCAGTCTGTGGAAAGAAGACCTCAAACACAGTAAGTTAGACAAAATGAGAAGACTGAGAAATACGTTGTAGAAGAAGGAGCAAGGTAAAAACCCACAAGACCAAATAAATGAAGAGGAAATAGGCAGTCTACCTGGAAAAGAATTCAGAGTAATAACAGTAAAGATGATCCAATTCTGTTAAACAGAAATGTTTAACAAGGACCTAGAAGAACTAAAGAACAAACAAACTGTGATGAGCAACACAATAACTGAAATTAAAAATAAACTCAAAGGAATCAATAGCAGAATTACTGAGGAAGAAGAACAGATAAGTGACCTGGAAGATAGGATGGTGGAAATAACTACCATGGAGCAAAATAAAGAAAAAAGAATGAAAAGAAATGAGGACAGTCTCAGAGACCTCTGGGACAACATTAAAGGCACCAATGTTCAAATTATAGGGATCCCAGAAGAAGTAGAGAAAGTGTCTGAGAAAATATTTGAAGAGATTATAGTAAAAAACTTCTCTAACATGGGAAAGGAAATAGTCAATCAAGTCCAGGAAGCACAGACAGTCCCATACAGGATAAATCCAAGGAGAAACAGGCTGAGACACATATCAATCAAACTAACAAAAATTAAACACAAAGAAAAAATACTAAAAGCAGCAAGGGAAAAGCAACAAATAACATACAAGGGAATTCCCATAAGGTTATCAGCTGATTTTTCAGCAGAAACTCTGCAGGCCAGAAGGGAGTGACAGGATATATTTAAAGTGATAAAAAGGGTAAAATCTACAACCAAGATTACTCTACCTGGCAAGGATCTCATTCAGATTTGATGGAGAAATCAAAAGCTCTACAGAAAAGCAAAGCTAAGAGAATTCAGCACCACAAAACCAGCTTTACAACAAATGCTAAATGAACTTTTCTAGGCAGGAAGCACAAGAGAAGAAAAAGACCTACAAAAACAAACCCCAAAAAATTAAGAAAATGGTAATAGGAACATACAT